CCTGTCTGATACATAGATAATAGAAAGAGAGAAGAAAGAGAAGAGAGAGAATGTGAATGTGCTTTATTGACCTTAGCTTAATAACGCATTACACATATAAATATGATTATAAATATGATAGACAGATAGGCAAACTGCCCTGTCTGATACATAGATATAGAAAGAGAGAAGAATGAGAGAGAGAAGAGAGAGAGAATGAGAATGTGCTTTAGTGGCCCTAGCTTAATAACTTATTACACACACACACACACACACACACACACACACATAAATAGGATAGATAGAAAAACAGATAGATGGGTGATTGAGCTGATACATAGATATAGAAAGAGAGAAGAAAGAGAGAGAGAAGAGAGAGAGAATGAGAATGTGCTTTAGTGGCCTTAGCTTAATAACTTATTACACATATAAATATAAATATCTTTATAAATAGGATAGAAAGACAGATAGATGGGCAGACTGAGCTGATACATAGATATAGAAAGAGAGAAGAATGAGAGAAAGAGAGAGAAGGGTGTAGATGATAGAGAAGTAGAGAGGCAGACCGACAGACAGATTGATCCATCTTCTGTGTCTTGAGCCAAATGCAATTTATTTACTAAGCCAGTGTTAAAACATGATTTAGCATATGACCCAGTGAAACCTTTGCCAACCCTTCCCGAACAGGCCGTCAATAATTCTCCTTGAGAACACTAAGAAAGAGAGCATTGTGCTCTTCGGGTGCAAGACTGAAATCATGAACAACGAAACCACAATATTTCGTTTACAAGGATGCTTTGCCGCGGCTGAGCTCAGCAGTCCTGGACAACAGACGTTGCTTTTGTCCGCCGGGGGGGGAAAAAAAAGATGGATTTGTCCGGCATTTTCGCGTGAGGCTTGCTTTCTGCGTGCGTCTGGAATAGTTTGGACTCGTTTGGACAGGCTCCAGGTTGCTAGCCGTTCCCGAGTCTGGGGGGCGGTGCTCATCTCCGTTTCAATGCCGAAGAGCCAGCGCTGTCCGAAGACGTCTCCATGGTCATGTGGCCGACATGACTCAACCCCAAAGGCCCACGGAACGCTGTTCCCTTCCCTCTAAAGGTGGCTCCTATTTTTCTACTTGCATTTTTTACATGCTTTCGAACTGCAAGGTTGGCAGAAGCTGGGATAAGTCACGGGAGCTCACGCTGTTACGCGGCGCTAGTGATTCGAACCGCCAAACTGCCGACTTTTCTGATCGACAAGCTCAGCGTCTTAGTCACTGAGCCACCACATCCCTTTTCTGTGGTTATTGTAATTGGGTTTCCCCCCCATTTTTTCTTGTTCCACTTCTCAACATCCTGCTTTTGATTCTTGTGGCACATTTATCTTTAAGGAAGGACTAGGCATATTTTCACGTATGCTGATATCAGCCGGGTAGTTTCTTGCCTTAAATCTAGCACATGTAAAAGTAGCTATTATCCACATTTGACAGATAATTATAGCTTTCGGGGGTGGAGGGTGGTGGTGTTTCCCCTCCATTTTTGCCGGTTCTTTCCAAGTTCGCGAATGGAGCCAAGAAACATATTTGAAAACTGATTGAGCAGAACGTGAAAATATCCATCTGTTTTGAAAGCCTTTTGGGTTTTTTTTTCACAGCCCCAAATGCTCACCCAGGAATATCCTCTCTCCTTTCTCCAGATGACA